AACTGGTTTAGGGTTAGGATGGTCCAAATTAGGTCTGATGGTGTTTGGTTTAGGGCATAATGGACTGGTTTAGGGTAGATTAGGGTCTGTAGTGATCGGTTTACCTTGTTAGACTGGTCTAGTACTCAATTTGGCTTGGTTTAGTGAAAATTCACTAGGGTTAGACCTGTTTAGATCTCGGTTTAGCTAATGTAGGTCATAGACTCCGGTTTCTGTTCAGTATAGGTCTGAATAGGTTGGATTTGACTACGTTTGGCTGGGTAGGAGGTCGGGTTAGGCTTAAATAGGCTGGTACAGGTCTGTAGTAGACTGTCTAGGTCTGATATAGGTCTGTAAGTGCTGTTTAGGTCTCGGTTAGGTCTGGTTTAGCCAAATTTGGGTTAGTCTAGCTTAGTCTAGGTCTGATTAGCAGATAATTAGGTCAAAAATAGGCTTGGTTAGGTCTGATTAGAGGTTTAGAATGTCTATAGAGACATTGTCTAGGTCTGATCAGATTAGAATCTGATTGTAGACTTAGGTATTATCTAGTTTAGGACTAGATAGGACTCCTAAGTACCAGTTTTGAGTCATAGAGTCCGGTACATTGACCGGTTAGGTCTGATTAGTTGGGATTTGACTAAAACGGGTTGGTTTAGGGGTTGGTTAAGTCTAGAATCACTAGGTATAGGTCTGTAGGGGTCGGTTTAGATCAGGGCAGGTCTGTAGGAGTTGGTTTTAGACATATATATGATCTGATCAGAAGTAAAGTAGGTCTTATTAGGCTTATTTTAGGTCTGATTAGGTTGCTAAAAGTCTAATCAGGGGTTGGTAAGTCATTAGGGTTGGCTTAGGTTTGGTGATTAGGACTTTTAGGTGTCTAACTAGGACTTATGGTCATCTAATCAGGGGTTGGTCAATTAGGGTTGGCTTAGGTCTGATTAGGGTGTTGTGGTGGTCTAGTCGGGACTTTTGGTTGTCTAACTAGGGCTGTTAGGGTCTAGGTAGCACTTGGGTAGGTCTGATTAGGACTTTGTGAGGGACCGGGTAGACTCCGGATCGTAGGACTGGTTAGGACTTTGTTGGGGGCCATGTAGACTCGGTGTTGTAGATCTGATTAGATGTAATCAGGTCTGTGTAGCCTTAAGTTAGGTCTGGTTAGACGTAATCAGGTCTTAAGGTAGGCTGTGTTTCGAGTCTAATAGGTCGGATAAGGCAAAATTATGCCTAGGGTAAGTCCAATCAGGTTTGTGCGAGAGTCTAGGAGGTCGGTTAGGTAGAAATATACCTTGTGTTAAGTCCAATCAGGTCTGGTCTAGAGTGTGTTAGATCCGTTTAGGTAAGATGTACCTAGGGTGTTGTCCGGTTAGACTTGGTTTAAAGTCCGTTAGATCGGGTTTAGGTTGAATGCCTAGGTTAAGTCCAGTTATGTCGTGTTCTCTAGGTCTTGTAGGTCTGATTAGGTAGAGACGTACCTAGGTTTAGGACCGATAGACTAGGGTTGGAGCGTGTTTAAGCACGGCTAGGTAGAAATATACCTAGGGTTAAGTCCTCTAGGGTTCGGTCTCATCCCTCGTGTCATGTTACATCACTCCTAGGGTCGGTTAAGTCTCTTCCGGGTAGGGTCGGTTTTAGACTCTTGTTATATCGTCTTAGGATGATGGAGTTAGATTGTCTAGCTCGGTATACCCCGAAAGGGGTATGGTGGAAGGACTAGAGGTCTCGGACAAAACCCGAGAAATCGGGTTGCAAGAGTAGGCCAATGACCAGGTGGAGTGAGTGGTTCCGCGGGTAGGTAGGGATACTACATGGAGGATTTGTAGATCCCGGATGATGAGGTAGGGAGAGTCCGAGGTAGAAGGATGTGTTGACCTCGGAGGAGTAACCGAAGTTGCTTCGGTTCTCGGTGGTAGGTCAGGAGGTGAGGTCTCCACATTTAGGTGGAGCTTCCTCGGGTAGGATGCTCAGGAGATGGTGTGAGCTGGGAGGTGTCAGGATTTCACCGGCTAGAGTCGGTGTAGGTTGGAGCGCTAGGACACTCCCTCTCGAGGTGGAGCACGTGCACTCACGTGTCTCTTATTCTCGGTGGAGCATCGTAGATGACTAGGAGCGTCTTCACGGGATAAAACCGTGGGACAATTCTAGTTGATAGGTTAGGGTCCGAGGGTAGAAGTCGCATACTCATAGGTAGTGTAGACTCTACGGAGATTCCGGGCTAGGTATCTAGCGGGTTTCGGTAGTATGACTCAGGTTAGTCTCGGGGGAAGTCAGGATAGACTTAGGAGACGGTTAGACGTCGGGTATAATCCTCGGGTTAGCTAGCGGGTATAGTCTTGGACTTTACTAGGAGGGTTAGTTGACGGTCTAGGGAGTCATACAACCGAGGGTAGCGTTCGTCGGTCGGGCGACGCGGGATAGGACTACGGTTCGAGTCTTATCGGGGTGAACGTTCTAACACGTTTACCGAGTGTTTCATTAACTGATATATCTTCTTCTCTTTAGTCATTAACTGAGCTGGAAAAATAATATGTTTCTATACAATTTAGAGAAAAGTAAGTGAAAGCTATTAGTTTATATAGGTAAAAAAAAATCTAGAATGATAATGAAAGCCAAGAGAATTAATTATTCACTATGCATCTTAATCATTAATTATTATAATGCAAATATATTTATTTAATATATAGACATGTACAATCAGAAAGAACCATTGAGGAAATTCACGAGATCATTTATTTGGATTTTTAAAGTTAAATAGTTTTTAAGTTAGTTTTAAATTGCTCATATTGCTTTTCGTAAAATTTTCTCTTTTTTTCTGAATATATATACTCAGACAAGATTTTATTTTGTTGGATGAAATGTTCTAGAGAATATAGAGATTTTACATTATAATAGAATTACACATGCATTTAGATTTTCTTATTCGTATTAGCTCATTAGGGTTTTTATTATTTGATTATAGAAATTATATTTCCTCTCTATCTGTTATAGTCATAAACATCAAATAATAACAAATATCCAACAATATTTGGTGTGAAAGCAGTTCTGATTTGGTGTGAAAGCAAAGGTCTTGTCCCCACGTCACACGACCACCTTTGATTTCATTGGTCGAACGTTACGTTTTTTAATGTCTTCTTAGTTACCCTCGCTATTGGTTCATTCGCATTTCGTCCTAAACAACGGTTCACTAATAATTGTACGTTCATTTTTGGGACAAAGACCTAAAGAAATCAACCTACTCCATCTAATCCGCTGCGTTATAGTCGCGGTAGAAGGTTTCAGTAATGACCTTTGACATGGAGCACATAACCATAGTAATATTATTAATCACGGCTATTGGCATGGTGCATAGTCGTTATTCGCATTACAATAGCATCAATAAATGCCACTTGAATTATATATACCACTAGAATTATAACCCTAACCCTAACCCTAATTTGAGTTAGGTCGATAATCTTTCACTTTCCCTTAGAGTCATAGATTTTAGATTTGTTTTGTCATGGTGTTGAATTATTTGCCCATTTGAATGGTTAAATGGAAGAAACTTGAGGTAACACAAACATTGTACAATTTTCAAATTTCCACGTCTTAGGTTAGATTGGATTGGATAAATGATGCTTAATCATTCAACTAACATGATTGATTGATTTGATTTCTTCCTAAATGTTTATGTAATCGATGTAGGAAGAAAACTTTAATGACACGTGCCATAATTAAAGAGGAAGAAGATATATAAGGTTTAAGATTTATTAGACTTTTGTTAGCGTGGATGGTCTGCTCTTGAAAATTAAACGATATATATTCTTCTCTTTAGTCATTAACTGAGCTGGAAAAATAATATGTTTCTATACAATTTAGAGAAAAGTAAGTGAAAGCTATTAGTTTATATAGGTAAAAAAAATCTAGAATGATAATGAAAGCCAAGAGAATTAATTATTCACTTTGCATCTTAGTCATTAATTATTATATATTTATTTAATATATAGACATGTACAATCAGAAAGAACCATTGAGGAAATTCACTAGATCATTTATTTGGCATTTTTAAAGTTAAATAGTTTTTAAATTAGTTTTAAATTGTTCATATTGCTTTTCGTAAAATTTTCTCTTTTTTTCTGAATATATATACTCAGACAAGATTTTATTTTGTTGGATGAAATGTTCTAGAGAATATAGAGATTTTACATTATAATAGAATTACACATGCATTTAGATTTTCTTATTCGTATTAGCTCATTAGGGTTTTTATTATTTGATTATAGAAATTATATTTCCTCTCTATCTGTTATAGTCATAAACATCAAATAATAACAAATATCCAACAATATTTTACTCAAGTATCTATCTATAGTCCTCCATCCAAATAGTATCTATATTAAGTTCCATCCATTGATTTTTCTTTTTTCCAAGACAAAGTTGTTCATATTTCCTATCATCACCTTCTAGAAAAGAAAATATTGCCTAAATTGATCCTCTACTCTATATATATATATATAGAGTTTAGGGTTTAGAACTTAGGTTTATAAATTATCAATGTGTCTCATTTGAATTAAAAGTTTGAAAATAACAATGTCAATAGTGTATTTAATAGTATAAAAAGAATCAGCACAATTGTATTTTGTTGTGGAATTGTGTTTGAAGGCACCACAGCAAGAAGCGCGAGAATGAGAACATATATATATCGTTCTCATTTTATTTTATTTTTCTTTTTTTTGTCAAAGTTATTTTATTTTTCTTTTGTTTACAAGTTTTTTTTTTGCATTATGGCTATATATTTGCAAAAATATGATATTGAGAAAACATTTGCAAATCTATGATCTACCTAACATAACCAAAACTAGGTTACAAGGTATACGAGAGATCAAGATCGTTCAAATAAAATTGTACAGTTATGCGCATGTCAGCTCCATTTGGCGCCATGTCATCCCATCAATCGTCCATGACGTGGCAGTTCTGACATGCCACTTAGATTGGCGCAAATCATTAATTAAGTACAGGATTTAAATCTTAATATTCACAGCTGAGGATAAACCCAACAATATATAGATTCATGATACGTCAACGACAACATACAACGATTGACATGACATAATCTTACGTTTATTAAGCTTTGATCAATAAGTTTAACACCATTATTCATGTACTGATATGGATTAAGAACAAGAGTAATTAGGCACCATAAGCACCATCTCCAACCTTGTTGAGAACATCCATCTCTTCCTTGAATTTCAGCATGGCATCTCTTGGCAATGTCATAACCATTTTGATCCCTCCCTCCATTGACGGATCCAACCTCGAAGGCTTCAAAAGCATGCCGAGATCTACGGCTTTTTCCGACGGGACCACCGGCAGCAGATTCACCGGCTCTCCCCATCCGAAATCCAACGACCCGAACCATCCTATGTTCCTCCAGTCCGTCAAGAACATCAGCCCGTCGTCTCTTTCCCCGAACCAATCGTCAATCTTCAACAGCTTCTCTTTGTTTCCTAGTTCCGCTTGAACGTAATCCTTGTCGTGAGCTTTTCTCTTGGCTTCTTTTATGAGTTTCACAATCTCAGAGATGGGCGATTCGTTTAATTCTCTTGCCGTTAACTCCACGTGCATGTCTATGCATGCGTTGCCGTAGTACCCATTAGGCAAAGGAGGATCCATGTCCGATCTTATTGCAACTGCTAAACCGAACACAACTATTCCATCTGGGTTTAGGTTTAGGGCTCGAGTTCTTGATCTCCACATGTAAGCTCCAAGAACTTCGAACGTTGTAAGAGACTCTTTTTGAAAGTCAGATTCTTTCGTTAAAGCTTCTTTCAACCTCTTTATAGTATCGGCACTAACGTTGACTGTCTCACTAACCTGTTAGACAAAAAGACGAAATTTGGTTTCAGATACAATTTTCATCAACCCAAACGGCGGGACGTGTAACATAGAGGTGGATCAATACATATACAAAAATATCAAAGGCGGAAAAATCAAACATCTAGTAAACGAGGAACATGAGTTAACATACGTAAAATATTAAAAGTTGATGTAGAAACAAATATTTTTTTTTTGGAGGAATATATATATATATATATATACCAGGTCTTGACTTGGCATATAAGGTGAAATAGCCAAAAGGTTAGAGTTTTCTGCTCCGGGGATTTCAACGGGTCGGTTATCAGGAATTCCGACGAGCCGATCTCTCTCCCATATCGGAACCACCGTCAGCTCCCTCTTTCCGGCCGCCAACTCGGTCAAGGCACTGATAAAACGAGCCACTCCAAATCCATCACACACCGCATGCGTCAATGCTGTCCCAATTGTGAATCCTCCGCATAGGAATTTGGTTACCTAAAGAGAAAGTCATTACAAAAGTGTGAATACCCATTGCTTATCACAACAATATATGTATTTGGGCAGCGTATATATATATACAAATTTACCGTTTAACAAAAATAAAATATATATGTATTATATATGTGTATATACATATATATGGTTACCTGCAAAGCCAAAGGGTGGTAACCGATCTCCTTATCATAGTTCTCATCGTCAGTTTTGGGCACGAGCAAAGATACAGTACCGAAATCAATACTCCCATCTAGATAGCTGAGAGAAGAGAGCTTGAGATTTGATGTAGCGATAGTAAAAGGCACGCCCTCGCCATTACATCTGAGCTGAAGCTTCCTGTCGCATTCTCGCCTGGTCAACTTGCCCGAGAGAGGATAGTAGTGGACAAGAAGATTGGACAGAGCCTCTCTAAGAAGGGATTCAGGTTCATAAGTTTTGTTTCTTCCTTGGTATACGTAAATTGTGCAGTACATAACTTCGTTGTAAGGGTCATTATCTAATGTGGAAAGAGACAGTATTTGTGAAGGTATTTGTTTTGAAGGTTTGATGAACTCGGTTGCTTTCTTCTCGACCGCTAGAGGGCACAAGCCGATTTGGTTCGCCATTTTAGGTTTCTTGTTTGTCACAAATGAAAAAGTTATCGCCTTGAGGCCATTTTATAACCAAAGTTTGCAACTTTTATTGGTGGTATTACTTGGACATCAATAATATTAAATAAAGTAGCGATTTTGGATACGTTTAGGTATACCTCGTACGATATGTCTAGGAAACAGTATATGTAGTCGAAATACAAGTATTTTTTTATTTAAAAAATGCAAACTAAAGAGAAGGAGATATTAATGTCTTAGATTCCTCCTAACGTGCAAATCATGCTGCCACAGATGATTCATGCGTGCATGGTTTGTGTGGACGAAGCTTAGGATTAATAAACCCCTGCCTCCATATATAATTTCCGCGATTTCTAGGGTTTTTCTCCCATCTTTTTTAACTTCATTAATTTTGTTAAATCTTTAGATGTTTGGTCCAAGTAGATAGATAATATAATTTTGTCACAAAAACTTACCCCATGCATTAAAAAAGAGAGAGAGGCCAAAGATCATTTCATCACGAGCTTAATAGTTAGGGGTTGTTGAGATGCAAAGGCCACGTCTTCACGTCTCATGTATTAGCTTTGATTTGATTGGAGAATTGTTGCCTATAGCGTCAATTAAAACGTTATTAATATCTTGTTAATTACCCTCGTTGGTATAAGAAATTCTCCTCTACTGGTTCATTCACATTTCGTCCTAAACAAAGATTAATTAACAATTATACGTTGTTATATTTTTAATAAATATCTTATTGAAGATTTTTTATTTGGAATGATATAATCCAACTCCATCTAATCCATTGCGTTGTAGAAGAATTCGAATCGTAGACTATAGAGCTGTTTTGTCACGGTGTGGAATTATGTGCTGATTTGAAGGGTAATTGGAAGAAAGTCGAGGTACCAAATATATCGCACAATTACAAATACCAAGAGTTTCCACGTCTTAGGTAAGATTTGATATCTTAGGACAAATAATGTTGTTTAGCAATTCAATTAACGTGATTAGTTTCTCCAAAATACAATCGTAGCAGATACATGTAATGTAAGAAAAATAAATATATAAAGAGATACTAGCAGTTTAATTTGTGTCGAAACTCGTAAAAATACAGAGATTCGGTTATGATTTCAAGATGTGTTGTCGTTTTTCTAAAAACCTTGATTACTAACAGTGAAGTGACCACAATTTTAGATTGTTCATAGAAAAAATTCAAATTTATGACCCATCAGTGGGTGGTCGAGTGGCGAAAGGGTGTTGCTCTCTGGCTCCGCTCGTCAGTTCGAAACCAGCTGATGGTGAGGGAGGGGGTATTTCTCGGTTGGGAGGGTGTTGCTCTTTGGACCCCTGTCGCCGGGCCTCTAAAGGCTGCTCCCGGGCCTAAGGGATGTAGGTTGGGTCGAATGCCCAGGTGAACCTCCTGGTTAACGAAAAAAAAATCAAATTTATGATAGAAAATAAAAATAAAACATTTTCTTTTTATTGTCTTGAAAAATTCGATAATTTTCTGGAAAAAATATATATCCAAGACAACCATGGTAATCTCTCAATAATAAAATGGGGTGTTTATATATTTCATGATATTTTATATACTGCATTTTTTTTTATATAAATAGATAGCAATAATGTAATCTATTCATGAAAATGGTGTCTATACATCAAGAGTTGTAAATCTCTTCATCAATATAGAGTTATTATTTATGCCTATTCATGATTAATTGTAAATCTTTTTTCAACAAATAATTATCTAAAAATTTTGAATGATGCAAAAAGGTATAATATTTTTTTAATGTGAATGATAACGACTCTTGAATATAATATGTCACTTAGACTCATCTAGTGCAGGTTCTTTTCTATTTCTTTCTAAACGTTACAATATATAATATATAACCAAACTAGGTTTAATTTATTAGACTTTTGTTAGGGTTTAGAGAGTAAACGAACAAGAATCCCAATAATGCAGAGTTTGAACATAGGAAAATAGCCCGGACCGCAATAATCAAGGCATACCTTTGAAGAAGCCGACAAGCGGGCATACTCATCAGACCTTAACCGATAGATTCTGTCAGATGTACCGTACTTTGGGTACATAGCGATGAACTTGTTGAAAGCTTCATCGAGCTCAGGTATGGCGTCTTCGGACAGGAAAAAGTGTTCGGCGGCTAAGGCAGTGGCTCGAAGGAATTCTCGCTGGGCGTGGAGCCTGGCGAGGGACCTAGACCGGCCTAAGCTCCTGTCTTGATTCTCTTCGTCCATGTCTTGCGATTTGAAGAGTGACCCATCTTCGGATGCTTCCTCGAGAACTTCCCTCAGCTTATCCACGTACAGTTTCCGAAGCATCGAAGCCTTTTTCTTGACATTAACCGCTGAATCGGATCCATCTCTCCTCCTCCCGCTCTTACCCTTATCCACTATCAGAGCAGCACAATGGTGAATTTGCTTCCACAACGAAAAATGCATTAATCGCTCAGCGAAAAAAGGATTCAGCCATGCCGAAAATTAGAAGCTTTTCTTCTGTAGAATCAGCAGAAGGACCAAAAGGGTTTATCTTCCTAGCCCATCAGAAAACCCTAGAATTCACAATGCGAGACGAGAAGATCACTGACGGTTGGGAAGATCAGAAGAGACCCAAAACAGAAACTTTTCGAGAACCCAGAAAAGATTATCGCTTCAAATGGATTAAACAAGATGCAGAGATGGAAATAAGCCCAAGTGAACAGAAGAGTTTCGCCGGAGAAGAAGAAATTGAAAGGCACAATTTCAACAAACAAAAGTACGAGAAAGAAAGCAAAGGGGAAGGAATCCAAGAAAGACGAAAGAGAGTCAAAAGGTTCAAACCCTAGGACCAACCTCAGGAGGGAGGGAGAAGGGAAACTAAAAAGAAAAAAGCAAACAGATCCCAAAACTTTGCATAGGAATTCATAAACCCTTCTGGTCACAACAATTTCTCTGAGGAAACAAATGATAAATATTGTGGAGAATCTTTCAGGAAAATAAAACCTTCAAGCAGTTATCTTTGAAGATAGTGAATATAAAAAACAAAATCTAACTCCTTTCACCACCAGTCGTCTCTCTCATTTACTAGTCCAACTCTCTCTATATATATATATACACATATATCTCAGAGACAATCTGTTAAAAAAAGGCATGGACTTTTACACAACTGAAGATCATATTGGCTGATAAGTTTCATGAGTTTAAAATCAAGAAAACATCACCTTGTCTTCTTGGAACAACCATTGGTTTGTCAACTCTTGCGTTAAGGATTAAAGAAATCACCTTTAAAGTTTTTTTTTTTACATCACTCGGTTCTTCTGCATTGAATTAAGTGATTTGTCTCTTTTTTTTTTATTAACAGTAAAATTTTATATATGTATGATATTCCTTACAAAAGGAAAGGTTTAAATAACCATCCTTAGTCTCAGAATTACATGAAAATTCAATATCTAAAAAAAGAGAGAAAAAAAATTCACTTAAAGAGTTTCGAAGTGATGAAACAAGAAAGACCTTAGTTTCCTTCGAATAGACAATAGTCTCCTCCTCCGGGTCATGATGAGGAGGTCTTTAAGTAGGATCCAACCGATCATTGCATTTAGAATGCTCCGAGTACTTGATTCGTCATGAACTTTAGTCTCAATGAGACCATTTGGGTAGTAAGGATTAATAAAATTTGCCTTGTCCCTTTCGAGTCCTACCGACTAAGGTAAAGTCGGTTGGATCTTGAAGAGTTTGGACAATTGCTCTAGAACGAAGGATACGCTGAGCTTCCTTGATCATCTCATTTTCATTCTCAAATTGATATACCGACTTACCAACTTTGTTATCGGGCAAGGAAATGAGGTTTGGCTTAGGAGAATGAGATTTGATATCTTTTGGTGATAGAGTTGGAGTGAAGGATTTTTGTGGAATTTGGAGTTCCTGGTTAGTCTCATCATTGATGTTTGAGTGTGGGTGTGTATGATTTGGTTCCAGAATTGTAGACTGGAAATTAACAGGGGAAGCATGTTGAACAAGAACCTCCAATGAAGAGGTATGTTTGTGAGCCACAACTGGGAGAGAGTTTGGTGAATTTGAAGAATCAAAGGGTAGTGGGGCAGCTGGATTTGGAGCAGTTGGAACAGGGGTGACAGGAGTTAGAGTAGTGATGCTAGCATCAGGTTGGTTTTTCTCCACCGGTGAAACTGATTGGGCAGGCTTCAAGGGGCAACCATAGATCTTATGTCCAAAGTTTCCACAACCTGAACAACGTGGAGGAGTCCAGGCATATTCAACCTTTCTCATCTTCAACCTCTACACATTCGGATAATGGGGAACCCAAGTTTACTTCCACCTTTACTCGTGCTTCTCCCACACTTAGAGGATCTAGCCGCATACGTTCGGTGTGGAGCGGTTCCCCGATTCCACAAGCTATGTAGTAGGTGCACCTTGTTGCTATGAGTAGCCCAACTTAATTCTTTTATGTTATCTTAGACCGTATAGTCCCATACCTATACAGCCCTCGAATCTCTCTCATTCCGGTGTGTACGATTCATCCCTATATCTCCTACCCAGAAGCTCGTCAGGAGCCGCCCCTTGTCCGTGCCTCTGCACCGGCGATCACTCTCCGTCCTCCTACGGTACTCTGGGTTGTCATAGCGACCTCTCACCAACGTGTAGGAATCAACATTGGCACGAGTCTAAAAGACCATCACGATCTAGACCTAACATCGTGATTAGCAACCTTGGTATAAGGAAGGCGCCACAAACGGTTATGACTGTCCGTTAGATAAGCCGGGTTGAACGCCATAGATAGAAATCCAATAAGTTTGGGAATAGTTCAACAAGGCCTATAAAAGAGAAACACTCTCAATTTGATAAAAAGATGATTGATTATTACAATATGATTTTTGTATCCTATTTATCGGTGTGGTCCTCAAGAGAGCCTTCCTAAATAATGTAGTCTTCCAGAAAGAGTTTTAAATGCTTTTGAAAAATGTGTTTCCATGGTTCACCGATTCCACAAGCTATGTAGCTAATTCCCGAAAGAGAATATAGCTCTGCAGGTATATCTGTAAGCTTCACCCAGACATGAGCAGAAGTAAGAGGCGGTTGACTAAACGAGCTTTGCGCAGACCATTCGACAACCGAGAACATCACGTCGGCTACACGCCACATTCCAACTTCGAGGACCCATTGTCTAGTGGCAAGATCAGAGATGTATAACATACAAGAGGAGTCACCGATTCTATGAACATGAAACTTGGATTTGCGTCCCCAAATAGGATTCAAAGACTGGTAGATCTTAGAGCCAGAAGGAGCAATACCATAAAAGTGTACCATATATCCATCCCAAGTCTTAGATGCTTCGACAAGGACAGAGCTCGGAACTCGAATCCCCGGGTTACTTTCCGCAGAGAGCGTTGGAGTAGTTACTCTACTGAGATTTTTGGATGAGGGACGGAGACGCATAGCCCATGGACATCGGCCAGACGGAGGAGACGAGCCATGTGCTTGTTCTGCTAGAGTCGGAGCAGATGCGGGGACCAGTAGAGCACCATGAGGGATGGAAGAGGGCTTACCCAGTGGGGAAAATCCAAAGACGTAAAGTGTGAGGGTTGAAGATAGGGGTTCGTAGTGATAGGCGATGGCTTAGTAGGGATTAAAAGATTTGAGTTAAGGATGAGCAGATCTGAACTTAGGTTGGAAGAAATGAGCGGATCTGGGTTTTGAACGGACAAATCCGAATTTAGAGAAGAAGAAATGTGTGGATCTGGGTTGAGGCAGAGTGGATCTGAGCTAGGGATGATTGGTGGTTGGCAGTTTAAGGGTGGAGATGGAGGAGTTTTTTTTTTGTTTCAGATCTGTCGAATCTCCCTTCGACGGAGAGTTGTGCTTCTTCTTTTTTTGGCTCATGGCAGAGGAAAAATCAAACTTTTCGTAGAGAGAAAGAGACCAGAAGAAAGAATACTTTTGTCTCGTTTAGTAACTTCATCAATCAGAATTATGATTTTTTTGTCATTTTATATATGAAATTAAAATACTATTATCAGATTTGTTGGTTGAAAACAAACGAAAGATATGCCTATACCCAACATGTCGTGGACGAGTGGTCAAGTTTGGGGTGGGAAGTAATTCCACTGGTGGGGAGGGAGGTAATTTCTGGGTCTATACGCTTCATATACAAAGGCTGTTTTCGGGCCGAAAGTTTACCTAATCAGCGCGCTCGAAGGGTAACCAGTGACGGACCCACGTTATGACCAATGGGGGCATGTGCCCCAGTAATGTTGCAAAAATGTCTTTGTACAATTTATTTCTTCATACCATTTCTTTTTTTGTTAGGTATATATATACATTATTATATGTCTATTCCCCCAATTAAAATTTGGTGTGGGTCCGCTACTGAGGGTAACAGTTAGGCATCATAAAAAAAAAAAGATATGCCTATTAAAAGATGGGTTTGTCTCTGGTTTACTCCATAATTTAAATTTATCTACCATAAAACGATTTGTCCTTTTATTAGTCTGTTTAGTTTCTCAATTTATATACATCTAAATTCTGTCATTATAAGTTTCAAAACCGAAGTACATAGATTTGTTAGAAGGGGACAAAAAAAGACAATGGTGCACCAAATCATTTTGCCGAATTGCCATAAAGTCCATGGAAAATAATTTCAAAAGGAGCGAGTTCACCCTCAGAATAAGGAATATTTTCAGACCATGCCACTAAACCATTCATCAATATTGACACAAAAAGAAAAGCCGGGAACATGTCCCAAGTGACGAAGCCAAGAAGTGAGCTTAACATTTTCCTGTCTTCATCTTCGTTCAAGATCCTGATTCTTTCGTAAGAACCTTTGGCCGTCCAAAGCTTCTGACTTGTCCGGTGGAACAGAGCTTGAACTGGTTTTTTCCTTGTACTAAGCAGTATCTTCAATGGCGATCCCACTTCCACTCCTACGTCTCTGCCTCAGTCTTCCAGCAATACTATCTGGGTTCGGTTCAAGAGAGACTTTCCTCCTCTTACATGTCCTTTCTGAACAGCTTTCATATGCTCTGCTGCTTTCTTTCTGCTCCTTCCCTGCCTCTTCTGGTGACAAATTCTCTGAAGCTTGCTTGTCACCGGAAGGAATGAAGCTCAGTGACCTCCTGGGTGAATTCAGGTTTTTGTTCGAATGATTTTCCTCTTCCTGAAAGAAATCACCATCCTCTTCACAGTCAACATGTCCATCGTTATTAGGATTTCCCATTTTGTTATTTCCCTTCTCCTGTAATGATCTATCATCAATGTGATGATCATCGTTTTGATTGTCCAGATCCTGCATCTTTGGAATTTTGGGGAGATCATCATCGGCTGTCTTCAGATGGGGATGCTCTTGGAACAATGCTTCTACTTCTTGAAAGCTAAGAGATCTCTTTGCAGAAGTTTGGTTGGGGGTGTCATCAGGCTTTTCCTCAGAGTTTGTCAGCGACAGTTTGGTCTGAATCAGATAATGCGCAACAGACTTGTACCCGAGTTTGGATATCTGGAAAGAGTTCAAGGAGATCTTTAAATTTTGGTTCTACTTCTACACAACAAAAGATAAACCAAGATAACGCAAAGGAACAACTAGCACTTACCCTTCTGTAAATTGCTCCAGTTGGGAGCCAACCTTTATGAGTACGGCAGAGACTGCAGTTGCAAATCCCACGGCAGACAGGGCAAATCCAATCTGGATTTTCCAAAGTTTCCAGGACATGTTCCCCGTATCTGTTAACACATTCAGCACCAAACCAGGAGAGAAGGTCAGACAGATGATTAAGATTAGTCTACTCAAGAGCAGTGATTGCTTGGGTAACAGGAAGAAGCAAGACCAGACAAAAGAAAAGCTCGATGAAAAAAATAAACTACGAGGTTGGTGGCCATGGAGGTACGAGAATGTTGCAGATGAATGAACTATATACCTCATGTACAAACAATCTCCACAGAACTGTCCCTGGACCATGTTGCATTGGCTGCACTGAGTACGATACCCAAGCGTTTTCTGCCTGCAGAGAACAACGCGCAAAGACCATTCAAAGATAGCATCCAAAGTCTCTCCGTTTCAGACATATGGGTGAATCTGTCTAACTCAACATTCAACCGAATAAGACTTCTCAGACAACATTGAATAACAACATCAAGAACAACAAACTGATTAAAGCAACTGAGTAAGGCTTCTCAGACAACATTCAGTAACATCAAGTTCCCAAAAGAACAGCACAGTGCATCAGGAAGAACAATGTTAACCTGCACTGGTGACAAGTCTTTCCATTAACAGGGTCATAAATCCGTTTCCCATCTTTCCCGTAACCATCCACGAAGAACGTCCAGCTTCGCTCTGTGTTCCCGAGAAGCTTCTCGTGTTCCTCAGTGTAAATCTCAGGCCTGGCTCCTTCTTCTAGCTGAACAGTCACGTGTTCTAATGATTTTCCCCTTTTGGCCTCAACAGCCTCCGAGTACGAAACTGGGGACACATTCTGCAATCTGACATTAGAAAAACACGAAAACAGAGAGAAAAACCCTCAATCAAACCCTAATCCCAGTCTCAAGTTCTCATCTTGTCACCAAAATCGAACAGATTTCATCACAAGCGAACGATAATCGAACCTGGAAGAACGTCGGGTGGGTCCTGAAAGCTGAACGGGAGGACAACCGCGGGTCGATTTTCGACCCGAATCAGAGTTACCGAAGGGCCTTTTGGCGGGTCGGGTTTCGGATCTGAGTTTGAGGGAGAGGTCCAAAATCCCTAGGCTTTGCATTCGCTGGAGATTCTCCTTGATCCTCTCTTCCCTGCATTGCTCGTAGCGAGAGACGCTTCCTGTTTCTCCGGATTCTCGATCATGGGCTCCGTACAGTTCCGGGGACTCCATCGTCTTTCTCATGGCGGCGGGCATGGCGATTTCACTATTCCTGACCTCTCTTGCTGTAGGGGAAAAGACATTTCGCTTTTATTTCTCAGCGAGGGTTTTATGATCATTGAGCATAGCAACGGTCGGATTTTTCCTTTGAAAAATTTCAAAAAAAAAAAAGACCACAGTGCATGGGTCAAAGGGAAAGTCATAAATTTAATTTCCTAGTTTAATGAGAAAAATATTATTTTATTATTTTTTGCCATATAATCATTTAGTGGGAGTACCTTTTAAGAAATTGGTTTTTTTAATTTAAAAAGTATTTAACTTTTTATAATAAATTTTCATTTATAATTAAAAAATTAGACACAGCAAAGAAAAAAAAAAATGGGAGTCTCATCTTCTCAACCAAATTAATACCTAATCTGCCCTCAAGCCCCATATCCATCATCACCTTCTATTTTGGTGATATTAAATTAATGAAATAATTTATGTTCATACACTATCTTATAGATATTTGCCGAATTTATATAATGGTACATACAACTAACAAGCGTAATATAACCGATTATACATTTTTATCTTGTTGATATATTTATTTATTTTATGATGGGATGGAATGGACAGCGTGAGTTTTTAGATCTGTCCAAGTCATTTGTCATGGATGCATTTCATCATTGTCTTATTTTGGTATTATTTTGAAAATCAATATATTTATATATATATTATATATTTAAAGAAAAATGTATATAATTAGTGGATACATTTATTAAATTTGGTTACATATTAATATAGTATTTTTTCCTTTCTTTATGATGGAATAGACATTGAGTTTTTTCTCACAAGCAAAAGGGAAAAAAGGGCACGTTGATGAACCACCGAGTGAATATCATATCCACCATTTTCTCAAAATGGGTCAAACCAAAAACACATTTCGCAAATCTACACACTATATATATATATATAATCATACCGAGCCTTTTCAAACATTATAAATTCTCTCGAGTTCCTCGACCCATGTCCAAGAGACCTTCTGGTTCGAGCGGCGGCTCTATGGCGACCTCCTCCACTCTCTCCTTCTTCTTCATCTTCATCTTCTTTGTCAAGTTCATCGCCATTGCCGAAGCAGCAGGTGAAGAAGATAACAACGACAAGAAGAAGAAGAACGGGCTAGGAGCTTCGTTTATATTCGGAGATTCTCTGGTCGACGCCGGCAATAACAACTACTTGTCCACGCTCTCTAAGGCCAATATCAAGCCTAATGGCATTGATTTCAAGCCCTCTAACGGCAATCCCACCGGCCGTTTCACCAACGGTCGCACCATCGGCGACATTGTCGGTACGGTTCTTTTCATTTAACTCAATCACATAATTGCTCCGTGTATAGGTATAAACATCGATATACACGTATATTATATGCTTGATAGTGGCAAGTATTAGGATATATTCTAAATGGTCTATCTATGTATTACGAGTATAGAGAGATTGTATAGATTATTGAGATACTAATATTATTAATAGATGTATAGAATGGATCATATTAGTGATGTAATCATATTATTTGATCAAATTCAGGGGAAGAATTAGGGCAACCGAACTATGCTATCCCGTTCTTGGCACCAAACGCAACCGGCAAAGCTATATTATACGGCGTGAATTACGCGTCCGGAGGAGGAGGCATTTTGAACGCCACCGGGAGGATCTTCGTACGATTTCATATTTCTAATCGTTTTTTCCGATTTGTTGGAAAAAATATAAATATATATGTGAAAGATTAGGTTATACATTCTACAAAATGCTTTTTTTCTTTTTTTGCAGGTGAATAGGTTGGGTATGGACGTGCAAGTCGATTTCTTCAACGTCACGAGGAAACAATTCGATGAAATATTGGGCAAGGACGAGGCAAGAGATTACATAAGGAAGAAATCGATATTCTCGATCACGATTGGGGCAAACGATTTCCTCAACAACTACTTGTTTCCCGTCCTATCCGTCGGAACGAGGTTCACTCAAACTCCGGACGATTTCGTTACCGACATGCTCAATCATCTACGCGACCAACTCATGGTACGGAACTTGTGGTAAGTATATATTATATGATATGATGTAATTTATATGCCATTTTCATGCAGAGGCTGTATAACCTAGACGCGAGGAAATTCGTGATCGGGAACGTGGGGCCGATCGGATGCATCCCCTACCAGAAAACGATCAACCAAATGGACAAAGAAGAATGTGTCGACTTGGCCAATAAACTAGCGAACCAATACAACGCGAGGTTGAAATCCATGTTGGAGGATCTAAACAAGAATCTTCACGACGCCACGTTCGTGCATGCAAACGTATACGATCTCGTCATGGAACTCATCACAAACTACAAGAAATACGGTACGTATAATCTTAGATACGAAAAGAGGGATCGTACGTGTATATATATATATATACGGTTTTATACGAATGTAAATGGATGGGACACGCAGGGTTTAAGACAGCGACCACGGCGTGCTGCGGCAATGGAGGACAGTTCGCGGGGATTATACCATGTGGACCGACTTCGAGCATGTGCCAAGAGAGGGATAAATATGTCTTTTGGGACCCTTATCATCCCAGCGAAGCTGCTAATCTTATAATCGCTAAACAGTTGTTGTATGGTAGCACCGAATACATTTCGCCCGTTAATCTCAAAAATCTCAGAGATCTCTGATATATTATATTGTATTAATGTGCTGTGAACCGTCTTTTCATTGTTTGAAATGAAACTATATTATATATATATACCATGACTGAGGTCATACATGGTTCTTGTAAATCCATTTTGTACAAATTTCTGATTTCACTTAGTCAACGGGTCAATGGGTGACGTAATACTATTAAGTAATCAAATCTTGGGGGGAGGGGGTTGAATAACTTGAATTGATGATCTTTGACGGTTAAAAGAGGGTAAATTTGCACTTCGGTACAGAATAGAAAGAATATTTCAAATTGGTCCCTAAAGTTTAATCAAAGTTATAAAAAGGCTTTTAAAACTCTTCCCCCCCTCTCTCTCTCTCTCTCGGGTTTTAACGAGGGCTTTTGGAATCTGTTCCTCCGCTCCAAAACCCTAGATTCAATTTCTCAATCCGAAACCGAGCAATGTCGTTCTCTTTATTCTCTATCCCACAGCAGCAGCAGCAGCAGATGCAGACGCCACAAACGCTGTTCCAGACGCAGCCGCAGGCGTTTCAGCAGCAGAGCACTCCCTTCTTCTCGCAACCGCAATTCCCGCAGCAAACGCCGACATTTCAGCAGCAGCAGCAGCAGCAGCAGCAGCGGCCGCAGCAGCAACCGCAGTTGTACCTGTTCACGAACGATAAGGCGCTGGCGAATTACAGCACCAAATGGGCCGATCTTCATCCGGATTCTCAAAAGCTCCTGCTCAAGATTGAGTACGTTTTGTTCGATTTCTTCTATTTCCCAGATTTTTTTCCCGTTCCTCGATTCGATTGCTTCGGCTGCTGCAGTTGTCTGTTGTTATTGGTCAAAGACACTGGATCAAGGGATGTGGGTTTTGTTTTTCTCCTTCCGCTCTTACCTAGAAGGATAATTTTTTGGGGGAAAAGCAATTTTTTTTTATTGTATAGGTTGAAGAAAATTAGGATCTTTGATGTTGTTAGGGTGTGTAGATCTCTCATTCCGTTAAAAGTTTAGATTTTTAATTGTTTCTGAGCTCTTGGACCTTGATTTTGGCTACTGATTTGTACCCATTAGGTTTAGCGTTTGCTCATATAATCGGTTCTGTAAACTAAAAGTTATGGTTTATCTTTTCTCTGCAGAGAGAGGATACTGGGGTATAGAGATGAAAGCCAGAGGTTAGATCAGTGTAGTCGCCTTTACGATTCCTCTGTCTCAAATGAAGTGTTCGAGCTTGATGCAAGCCGCATTGTTCAGGTCTGTGCCTCTGTGGACTATGTTGGTTTCGAGTTTTCATCATGCAGGTTAAAGGGACATGAAAAATCTTGCATCTAATCTTTGTAGGAGCTTGGTGGGATAAGTACTGCCATGGACCGGCAGAAAGTCGTTCTGCAAGAGCTTATGGTTGTTGCTAAAGATATGCTACGTAATGCTGAAATCGCCGTCCGTTCTTTTATGATGCTACGGCCGAGATTTCTTCACTCTAAACAAGGAAGTGGAGTATCTTCCGGTCAACCATCTCAAACCCCGGGAGGAGCAATTCCGACCGCAGTTTCTTCGGGTCAACCTGCAGCTACTTCCTTAGTTCCCGTTGCCGATTTTTACCGTGGGATTCCAAAGAAACCATCCCCTTTTATACAGCAAACTGTTGTAAGGTTTGAGAAGTATCTGGGCGAGTGCCGACAATGGATCGAAGAGTTGGAACAACTGCTTGCCTTGGATTCAGACAAGAACACTAGACATGCTTCCCTTTTAGAAGCTCTTCCTAAAGTCATGTCTAATGTGCACGATTTCTTTGTTCATGTCGCAGCCAAGGTACTACCCGATATTCTTTGTCACCGTATTGTCCAGAAAAAAGCCGATAATGGTTTAGCTTTTGTTCATGATGAGTTTGAATATGTCTTGTCAGGTGGAGAATATTCATCAGTACATTGAATCAATGAGAACTGCATACCTTGCTGACCAGCGACGGAGGGGAGAATGTAATGATCCGTTCCTCGAGGCTGATCGAAGGGAAACAGCGAAACAAGAAGCTGCTGCTAAAAGGGTGCACCCGACTCTGCATCTACCTGCCAGTACACAACCCTCGACTCAGGTTGCGGGGCTGTTTGCCAGCTCAGCGACTCCGGGGGCTTCAAATGCACCACAGGCATCGGCACCCGCTCTGATGCCAGCGGCAGTGGCAGCTTCTTCTTCGGGAGGTGGCTTTTCTCTTTTCACCACACCTTCCTCTGCTCCGTCCTCTTCTCTATTTGCAACGCCATCTTCTGTTGCTCCTACCTCCTCTTTGTTCGGATCATCCAATGCTTCCTCTCAGCCATCGCTTTTCGGTTC